TTCTGAGAAGCAGATGCCCCCGGAGAAGGGCTTGTAGGGGTTTACAGTGTCGATGTCTGGGAGCCTCAGCAGAGAGGAACTGTAGCAGAACAAGGCCAGCCAGGATGCAGGGCTGATAGACAGGATGCCTCTGACAGCAGCGTGGCCTGGAGAGTCCTGGGCATGGAGCCCCGGCATTACAGCTCCATCAGCTGTGTAGGATTCCTGCACCCAAGTTTTTTTCCAGCTGGGAAGATAGAGGAGACTGTGTGGATTCCATAGGTGGGCTTCCTGAGGCTCTGATTGACAATATTCCCATAGTCCTTGCTCAAGGGATATGAGTGAGCTCTCTCATTATCCAGACACCTCAGGGGCATTCTCATTTTCAGATAGGAATTGAATAACACGACTTGCCAGGAAGCACATACCCAAAGTTCAGGAGCAGAGGGTTTGGAATGAGGTAGACTGCCCAGACCCTTGTTTTGCTATCCATATCAACTCCCTCCTTGAGATGGGGCAAAAGGCCTGTTGGCAAGGATGCATCTGAGCAGAGCCTTGAATACCAGGGTAACTTAGACAGGTTGTTTTTGTTGTTGTTATTGTTTGTTTTGAAGCTGTAGGCTAAGAACTGACAGCCAGCTGGACCCTTGGCTGGACCCATGTGGGCCATGTGGGGGTGGGGACAGGCAGTATGCAATGTGGCCTCAACTTCCCTTGGGTAACTGAACTGGGTTACTGAAAATAGTTCCAGGTGAGGCAGCTCTACCAGAGCTGTTTGTCCAAGGTGCTCAAGGCTGGATGATGTCTCTCTCCCAATGCTTATGTCACAGTGATAAACTCCAGTTCTTCAGAAAGCCTTTTTTTCTGGAGACAGGGCCTTCAAAGATGGCATTAAATCAAAACAAAGCCACTGGGATGGAATCCTTAGAAGAGACCAGGACACAGACACACACAGAGAAGACTGTACAGGAACTGGGCAAGAGGGCCATGTCTCCAAGCCAAGGAGGAATGTCTTGGGAACCCTCCCCTGTGACACCTCATCCTGGACTTGCAGCTTCATGCTTGTTCATGCTATAATGAAGTGAGCTGCCAGGGAAGCAGGCATCCCACGCAAGACAAGCCCTGGCCAGCACCACATGGGACTCTTGCTGAGCCCACCTGCATTCCTTCAGAGATCTGCCTCTGCAGGAAGAAGCCAGCTGAGAAGCTAGCAGGATAGGGGCCGCATTGCCAGCAGCTGGCAGAGGGAGGTCTTGGGATGTGGCTGGATCTGGAGACATGTGCATGGGAGAGGAGATGAAGCCAAGCTAACCAGGAGAATGTCAATCCCAGACATATGTCCTTCATTTTATTATCTGTGAGTATGTGTGCTTGCACCTGTGTGCTGTGCTGATATATCAAACCCAGGTCCCATAAGCTAAGCAAGAAACTCTATCTCCAATCCAAATCCATGATATTAAAGAGCTTGTTGCATTGGGGAGAGATAGACAATAACATATATGTAAAAAATAGAAAACCAGAACTATGACATCAATTGAATCAAGACCAGAGAGCAGTGCAGACACTGTTTCAGGCCAGTTGACCAAGAAAGCCATGGGCTAAAGTGACATTTGAGTAGTGGTCTGAATGGGGGGGGATCTAGGCATGAAGATATCTCAGGAAAGAAAGAAATAATAGAAAAATATGCCCCTGACATGGAGAAAGACTTCTGTCTTCCTGGTAAAAGGATAGACCTCTGAGGCTGGGGCTCAGTAGCAGAGCATTTCCTTGAATGCATGGTGCCCCAAATTCAATAGCAACTATTAAGGGGAGGAAAGTATAGCAATTCTAAAGTAGGAATTTAAAAAATAAGGAATCTAAAATCAAATATATCAATAAAATGTGTGAACTATGCTGAAAAATACAAACACCCCCAAAAGGACCCAGTATCAGACAGTTTTACAGACAAAGCCATATGATACTCAAATAGCATACATTATATCCATTTTATTCCTTTTAAAAGGAAATGTAAGTTTTTCTATTAAAGGTGTATCTAAAATTAAAATACACAATGCTAGAGAGATGGCTCAGAGTTCAATAGCATAGGCTATTCTTGCAGAGGACTTGGGTTTGATTTCCAGCACCCACATAGTAATTCACAACCGTCTGTAACTTCATTTCCAGATATCTTACACCCACTTTTGGCCTCTGTGGGCACTGCATACATGTGGTATACATACAGAACACTCATACACATAAAATGTAAACAAACATTTTTTTAAATTAAGTTTTTTAAAATGAGGTTGAGCTAGGAGGACCCTAACATCAGCCTGGGATCCATAGCAATAACTTGTTTCAAATGAAAACAAAAAAAACAAAACCCCTGCAAATTTACAGAAATCTATGCCATTCCAATCTAAAAGATTGTTCTCAAAGTTTAAGAGTCCCAGAGACTAGGACTTGGCACCCCCTCTGACCTTTTCTATGAGGCATTTCTTTGAATGGAGGGCACATGGGATATACTCTGCCCTCCCCCAGGCCTCCCGTGAAGAGTTCCTACTGTCTGGTTTTCTTCTCCTCTCTAGAGGGTGTGGAAATGGAGCATCAAGGAGAGCTTGCCTACCAAGTCCAAGGCCCTGGTGTCTAGCTCCAACTCTGAAATTAATATGAGTAAATAAGTCCTTCCTGCTGTACTTGGGTTTTTTCCGTCTAGATGGTGGGAAGAATGTGCAGCAGCTCACAGAAGACTTTGGGAGGTCAGAGTCCCTGCAAACCCTTCCCTCGGTCAACAGGAATGTCTTGTCCAGACCTCTGATCCCAGCTGTGCGCTGTGGTGCACATGGAGGAGAGGTATCTAGGCTGGTGTGGGAGCTAAGGTTGGCATGGAGCTTGACTGCTATCTGAGGATGAATGGATTGCTAGGTCCTGCTGTGGAAGGAAACAGGTAGGGAGCACAGCAGACCTGAAGGTATACTCTGGAAGGTTCTGTCAGAGGGCTTGTTTGTTTTATGATTCTTACAAGGAAATTGTTCTGATTTCCCCCAAGGACCAACTGTTTCCTGTTTAAAGTAAGTCCCCAGAATCCTATTTAATTTCGTGTGTGTATGGTGTGAGTGGGCATGTGTATGGGGGCACACATCACATATGTATGTGGAGGCCTGAAGCTGACATGTGGTGTCTTTCTCCACCTCTCTCCACTTTATTCATTGAGGCAGGGTCTCTCACCCAGCCTGGAACTCTTCAATTCCAGCTAATCCAGCTTGCTCCAAGGATTCTGCCTTGGCTCCCTATGCCCTAAAATTACAGGCTTTTACATGGCGCTGGAGATGCAAACTCTGGTTCTGAATACATAGAAACCTCTGTCTATGCAGCTTACATTCTCTGTAGGAGGCGAGCATGCAGAATAAAAAGAGATCGTAAGTACCCAGAACTGTTCAACTGAATAGGAAAATAGGGCAAAGAAGAGTGCAAATGCAGGCTCCTCTTGAAGGCATCACTTCAATAAAACATGAAGGAGGGAGCCAGGTTGAGTGTTGGGTTAAGAGCATACCCGGGAGGGAACAGCATATGCAAAGTCCTGAAATTGTGCCTGGTAAGTTGGAGGCCATGCGGTTGGAGTAAGATGAGCAAGAAGAAGGGGTCAAGGATGGAATGAAAAGGACCCCCAAACACTGAAGAAGACTGAGAAAGTGTGGGTTATATATACTTCCGGTGAGCTGGGAGCCTGGGAAGGTTCTGAAGCAAGGGGGCCTAATCTGACTCAGGGTTAGGCAGGATGCCCTAGGTTGGTCATGGGTTTCTGGACAGCTGGGGCATCTGCTCTGTGGGCCAAGGCTGCTCAGCTACACCTTTGCTGTCGAGTTTTTGACCTTTGGCTGCACTTCTCCCTAGGGGGTGAGAGACATTGGACAGAGTGTGAGGAATGCAGAGCCCAGAGTAGGCAGCACAGTGAAGAAGTGTGCTGGCCCAGCCTGACCCTGCCCTGCACTGACAAGATGGGATCAGTCAATTTACAGACTAACCAACTACACCTGCTCTGCTTGCTAGCTTTGGCTGCAGAATGTCCTTAGCCACAGGGGGTACCTTGTCAAAGATCAGAAAGTTGATGCCCGGCTTGTGAAGAGCACAGGCTCCCTCAAGTGCTTTGGCTAAGACTCAGTTCAACAGGTGCATCCTGGGCACTGTCCTGGAGGGTCCCCAGATCGTTGATTAAGGGGACCCAGACCCGCTGGCTACAAATTCTGGCTCCACCACTGGCCGCTGGGAGAAGCAGGGGAACGACTGGCCACCTACCAGTGCCAGGTAAGAAGTAGCACGAAGGCCTGTCCAAATGCCTTAGGTAAGAAGCCCCTTTAGGCAGACACATCTGGCTTTGTTGGGTCCTCTACCTGTGTGGCTAGGAAGGCCCCTGCTCTCTCAGCGGGATTTCTTCATGCAGGCTGGGGGGGGGGGTCAGGCATAGTGTGGGTTAAAGGGCACAGCAGAGTACCCAGCACCCTCCGCTCACGTGTTTTCTAGGGCTTCAGTTTCCTCATTAAGCCGGTGGAAAAATGGCCCAGGATGGCTTGGGACTGAAGTATGGAAGCCCTCTGCAGATGGGGAGCACCCTGCTGTCTTTGGGGAGACTCCTGCACTATCACAAGCCTCTGCCTGCGGACAGTCAGTCGCAGAGGCCGAGAGCAGCGCAGCGAGCACGCATTCCCGTGGTTAACCATGGCCTCTGGAGAAAAGACCAGATACATTTTTATAAATGGTCCCTTTAGACACGGTCCCTACTAGATCAGGCGGAGGGGGCTGCGGGGGCAATTCCGCTCCTGAGGCCCTCGTGACCTGCACTTCAGGATTGTGCCGGCTTTCCGTGGGTCCTTAGGCCCGTCTCACGTGCGCACCCGAGGACCGAATGCGAGTACACGCAGAGGCCCGGGAGCGCGTGGGCAGCGGGAGGGCGCGGCCGGGGCGGGGCAGGGCGCGTGACGCGCGGCGCTAGCCAATGGGGCGCGCGCCCGAGGCCGAGCCTCCTGCGAGCCTTCGCGGCGCCCGCGGCGTCACGTGAGCGGCCGGAGAGCGCGGAGAGGGGCGAGCGGCGAGCGCCCAGCTCGGCCGCAGGGAGCGCGGGCTGCGGCCAGGAGCGCTGGACGCGCGGCCGCATACGGAGCCGGGCCGCACGCGCGAGGCCGCGCCAGGCGACGCCGAGTCCAGGTGGGAGACGCGCGGGGTACCGCGGCCGCGTGGGTCCTCCCGGGGGATCGCGGGCCGTGCCCTGGCGCTCGCTGTTCCCGCCGTGCGCGGGGTCCCGGGGAGTGCGGGGAACCCCGTGTGAGAGCGCGGGGCCCGCGGAAGGCGAACCCCGTGCGCGCAGCTCCTGCCTGCGGAGCCCACGCGCGTCCGTGGCACTCCTGGACCTGCGCTCCCATATGGCGGCGCCCGGCGGGGCCTGGAGACCGAGGGGCGGAGAGGTTACTGTCGGTCATAGCAGCGGTGGCCTAAGAGGAGACGCGGAGGGGGGGGACTGGGCGAAGGGTTAGGTGCTCTCCGAAGCTGAGCGCAAGAATCTGGCCCACCTTCTTCCCACGTACTTCCCACCCACGTACTTCCCACCCGCACGCCTGCACTGCGCCCCGCACACGCAGTCACACGACACAAACTCACACCCATTTGCGCGCACCCGTAGCGTTCCTGCGCTTATGCTCCGATTCCCCACGCAGTCCCCAGGCCCGTTTGACCGAACATTACCGGTGAGATGGCTGAGGGTAACAGCCGCGGAGCATGGCAGGCCACCCCTCTTGGAAACCCTTTCACCAGCAGGACACAGGGGCTATTTTCTCCCACGGTATGCGAAGGTGAAATCCCAATGTTTGATTGAGTCCTTCAGATGTCCCCCCCCCCCGACCGTGGAGAGCCCCCACCGCCTTACAGGTGCGAGAATGGCAGGAACTTTGGGGCCTTCGGACTGCCCAGGGAGGAGACTCTTATTTTGAAGAGCGGCCCCCATTCGCCACCCCCGTGATTTGCACGCTGACCCAATGGCTAGCCCTTGGCCGGCTCTCTGCTTGTTATCAATTACATGTTGTTCCTACAGCCGCTGTGTCCCCGGGAGGATAAACAGCAGGCCTGGCCGGCTAAGAGAGGGGGCGGAGTCCCGCGGCCGGCAGAGGACGGTGCCCAGAACCAGAACCGGGTGCCCCCTCCCCCTGCACGCAGCCTGCGCCTCTGGCTGCGGCCACGTGCTGCTGTTTTTCAGGGACCGGCTTGAGCGCTGGCACTCAGGCTTTCAGCCTCTGCTCCTCAGTTCCGGTGTTGCTCAGTTCTGCTTTAAGATCCTGTTAACTGGCTGGGACTACTCCTTACTGGATCCTGGAATAATTGAACAAAGACTAGGGCTCTGTTTGACTCTAGATCTAGACCTGTGCTGAAGAGTCAGAACTGTTTGTTTTCTGAAGAGGAAGCAAAGCATAGACAGGTCTCACTGTGGTGTCTGCTGTGAGGAATATAATCCTAGGAAATTTGCCCGAGGGAAAGTGACTTCTGAGTTGAGATCTAAATAATGAGCTCCCACCTGGCACTCTAGGAGAGCCAGAACTTCCACGTGTGTGTGGGGGGGGAAGGGTTGGTGCCATGGCCCAGGCTCTGTTAGCACAGATGATGAGCAAGGCCTGAGGCAGTTGGAGGGCCAACAAATGGGTAAGCAGGTTTCTGGTGCTCTGGGTCCTGGAAGAATCGGAAACATTTTTATGGGGGAAGGGAGATTCTTCCATGCAGTTCCATTTTGCCATCATCCTTTTATACCTGTTTCCCCTACTCCACCCCACTCCTTCCATGTTTCAGTAGGGTCTCAGGTAGCTGCCCTTGAATTCTCCATCCCCTAGCCTGTCTCCCGAGAGCTGAGATTACAAGCATGAGCCACTATGCCCACCCAGCACCACTGTTTGTTTTCATAGTAGACCTTGATTTCTATCGTTTTAAAATGAAGCCTGGAGGCCACCATCACATTTGAAAACAGGGTGATCCATCAGTGTTGTGGTGTGTCCAGCTGTGGTCATATTTTTCATTTCAGGAGAGTTTAGGTGATCCTGTTCTAGGTCCTGGGACATCATGTGCCCTGCATTTGCTTGACTGTTCAGACCCAGATAAGTATTCAGTATACATGAGCTGTTTGAGTGTGCACTTGGTTTAGGAGCCAGGTCTCACTGGCAGCACCCAGATGTGCACACAGAGAAGTTGTATCACTTGCCTGAGTTCAAGCAGCTGATAGCTATAGACAAGGTGTGTGCCCGGCCCCTTGCCTTTCATTTTATTCCTCCCCAGCACCTGCTTTAGTAAAGAATGTGTGCTTTAAAGCATACTCCTGGCAAAATTACCCTTGGGCTCAGATCTTGCCTTTACTCCCTGGAGCAAGAGAGAAGTTAGCACTGAAGCATAGAACAGTCAGAGAAACTGAGGCACAGGAAGCTGCTGGGCAATACCAGGTGCCAGGCTGTGGCATGGACCTGGAGACAGACTGACAGGGGGCAGGTCTGTACTCTAGCTCTGAGCATTCCCCTTCACCAGTCTTGATAATTACACAGCCAGCATGGTCACTGGGTGGGGACAAAGGTCCAGAGAGGTGGCCTCATCACAGACAGATACTGTTGACTCTCCTTGGACACCAGACCTAGCATGGGCTCCAGCTTCAGGGGACACAACTTTCCCCTCTTCTGTCCAGCCACATTCTTGGAGCCCTTCTTGGGTACCTGGTGTGGTGCTGAGTGCTGGGGACACAGCAGAGTGTGCTGCCAAGAGGGGACACAGGCATCGGCTGAGCTTCCCCAAGCCGGTGAGTGTCCCAGAAAGGAGAGCTGGGGGCGGAGGAGGACAGGAGGCTCTGTTCCCACACATTGGCCTGGGATCCATCCTGCCCAAAGGTTGTGAGGTCCCAGGAAGTTATCCACAGGCTAGGTTCTCATACCTCATGACCACCAGGAGCTGAACCTTGTCCATCATGGCAGGAAAATGTTAGGCACCATGGAAGTAGTACACTGCTCAAGTATGTGTTACCTCTCCTAGTCATGGAGGAGAGAGGTGGCTCTGGACAATCTGGGGACTAGACTAGAAGTTCATGAGGAAATACCACGAAAGCAGGCAGGCACTTAATGGCCTTTAACCCTTTTTTCCTTCCAAACTATAGCTACCAGGCTACAGCACAGGCAGCTCAGATAAACGTGTGTTCCATCCAATTCTGGGAATTCTGTGCTTGCATTCACAGAAGTTCATTTTTGAAAATCTGAAGTGAACATCTAACAAGCAGCCTGTTTTTATTTGCTCAATCTGGCAACCCCACAGAATCCGCAGGAGCATGGGCTCAGTGTGCAGATTGTCCTTCCCACCCCCTCTCTGACACCAGGTAGGGAACAGAGTTTAGGGTCTTGCCATTCCAGGGCCTCCCTGCCCTGGCCTCCCCTTGGACTCAGCTGTTCATAGACAAGAGCAATCCTTGTCTTATTCTTTTCCAGGATCATTCTGGAAACCAGAAGTGCCCTGGGTTGTGCAACAGGCCTGGAGAGAGCTCTTTTGCAAACAGGGTGATGCAATTTCTGAAAACACACTCTCCAGCCCTATTCTCCCTGGGGATGGAAGTAGGGTCTGGACTTTTGGCCACAGGAGACCTTAGGCAGGCAGTGGAACATGGGCGCTGCAGGGCGCTGGTAAGCATGCAGTCCTTCTAATCAGACCTCCCTTGTTCCTTCTGCAGCCACCACAGGCTCGGCCAAGCCAGCATGGTGGACCACTTGCTTCCAGTGGACGAGACCTTCTCGTCACCAAAATGCCCAGTGGGGTACCTGGATGATAGGCTGTCCAGCCGGCGGCCATACCACATGTTACCCTCTCCTATCTCTGAGGATGACAGCGATGCCTCCAGCCCATGCTCTTGTGCCAGCCCTGACTCACAAGCCTTCTGTTCCTGCTACAGTGCAGGTCCAGGCCCTGAGGCCCAGGACAGCATCTTGGATTTCCTCCTGTCCCAGGCCACACTGGGCAGTGGTGGTGGCAGTGGAGGTGTCGGAGATAGCAGTGGTCCTGTGACCTGGGGATCATGGAGGAGAGCCTCTGTACCTGTGAAGGGGGAACATTTCTGCTTCCCCGAATTCCTGTCAGGAGACCCTGATGATGTCTCCAGGCCCTTCCAGCCCACCCTGGAAGAGATTGAAGAATTCTTGGAAGAAAACATGGAAGCTGAGGTCAAGGAGGCTCCAGAGAGCAGCGGCAGGGACCTGGAGACCTGTGGCCAGCTCTCAGCTGGTGCACATCGGAGCCACCTCCATCCAGAGTCTGATGGGCGAGAGCGCTGTACCCCACCACCAGGTGGCACCAGTGGGGGTGGTGCCCAGAGTGCTGGTGAGGGACCAGCACGTGATGGCCCCATGCCGGTGCTGCTGCAGATCCAGCCTGTTGCTGTGAAGCAGGAGGCAGGTGCAGGGCCAGCCTCCCCAGGGCAGGCCCCAGAGAGCGTCAAGGTCACCCAGCTCCTGGTCAACATCCAGGGGCAGACCTTTGCACTCCTGCCTCAAGTGGTACCATCCTCCAACTTGAACCTGCCCTCCAAGTTTGTCCGCATTGCACCTGTGCCCATTGCTGCCAAACCTATGGGTTCAGGATCCCTAGGGCCCGGCCCTACTGGTCTCCTTGTGGGCCAGAAGTTCCCCAAGAACCCAGCAGCAGAACTTCTCAAAATGCACAAATGCACTTTCCCTGGCTGCAGCAAGATGTACACCAAGAGCAGCCACCTCAAGGCCCACCTGCGCCGGCACACAGGCGAGAAGCCCTTTGCCTGCACCTGGCCGGGCTGCGGCTGGAGGTCAGTATTCATGGACAGGCTGTGCGGCAAGCTAGTAGGTGCATCTCTGATCACTTGGGTGTGTTGCCAAGGCCCCTTTCTCCATTAGATAAGGTGGGTTAGGAAAGGAACAAGGGGTGGGCAAGGGACAGGGTCAAAGCTGGCACAGTCCTGGAGACTTCTTGTCTCACTTGTTACTAATGCTGGAAGCCACCTGGTTTCTGGTTTCTTTGAAGACCAGGTAAGTCTTGCTGGGGCTTATGCTATGTGGGGGTCTCTCAGGTTGGGATGGAAGATGAAGGGTTGGGCTGAAGTGAAAGGAAACTCAGCTAGGAAGCAGCTGAGTTTGGTGGCACACAGGCCATAGGCCAGGCGCCCACTGAGGCCTCGCTGCATCATTGGGGTAAGTACCACCATTACACCCATGACTTTTCTGGTCAGGCACATGGTGACTGGCCAAGAACCACCTATGCCATTGTACTCTGAGTGGAATGTGAGTCCCGAGACTTGAACTAGAAAATTACTTCCCTCCAGCCAGGGGATGCGCTTTGTTCACAAGTGTGGGCTGAGCTTTGCATTGTTTCTTCCTTGGTGACCTAGAGTGTGTTTGGGAAACCATAGAGAGCAGCCAAAAGGAAGGACAGATGGCTACCATATGTGGTCAAAGGTGGCAGAACCCTTTGGACTTCTGCTCCGTACAACAGGGTGCCCTGCTCTCTCTCCAGGGCAAGGAGCCTCATCCAGACTGCCTAGATGTGATGACAGGGACTATGGAATCCTGGTGTCCCCTTGTCCTAGGCCCTGGATGCTGCTCATTGTCTTTAGGAGACTGGTGTCCTGTAGAAGCTCACATGCTGAGGGTGCTGCAGCCAGGTGCAGGGTGCTCTGGCCTTGGTGGATAGGGTATGTGGCAGCAACACCGGTCCATCTTGTCTGTCACATGCCATGTGTGCCAGGTGGGGCTCATCTGTGTGCACAGGGCTGACAGAGCTAGACCTCCTGAGCCTGTGGTGTATGGGCTCACCTGCCCGTGTGTTGTGTGACCTATGTGTCTTGTACCAGGTGCAGGGTGGCATATATACAGGAGTAGTCATAGAGGCGGAGTTCTGAGACAGCCTTCGGTCCTGAGGTAGTGGTGCTGGCCCTCTGAGACTGAGCGTGAGGTGGGTTAGGTGACAGTGGTGGTACTTCCCTTCCAGCACCAAATAGGCCAGAAAAGGAACTTTCTCAGTTAGTCTTGGGTTGTGGAGGCCCTTCCTGAGATTGGTCACTATCTTCTCATACCTGTTCAGATGCTGGGCTCCCTAGGTCTGCTGTCTCCATCTCTCTGAGCCATGTGTTTTAGTGAGTGGAACCAGGGCAGGACTGTGGGCTGGTAAGTGAGTGAGTTGTAGGGCAAAAGGAGGAGCCTAGACAAGACACCTGGCAGCGATTATTAACTGAGGAAGGAGAGAGCAGTGGACCCTGTTGGAAGAGGCAATGGGACAGGGACCTTGAGCCTGCCCTGGGGTTGCTATCCACTTGCAATTTCATGTCTGGCATTTTTTGTTCCTGGAGCCCAGAGCTAATGTGGGGTCTCACTGCGTCCTCTTCACGAGGTGACTTGTCAGTTTCCCACAGTCACTCTAATGAAAAGGAACCTCTAAGATGGCCTGCCTGGGACACTGGCAGGTGTTTTCACTTACAGTGACTGCACATGGGAAAGTCACTGAATAGTCTTCACCCAGCAGTCCTGACTCCATGGGTTTGTTTGTCCCAGCAAGTGCTACTTGCCTACCCCAACTGGTGCTGCCTATTTGAGTGGCATCTCCAGAGGCAGGGGTAAGTTGTGGTCAAGGATGAGGGCTAGAAGTCAGGTCATTGCTGCTCCAGGAAGCATTGCTGCTCAAGGAAGGGCCTTGGCTCTGACCCTGAGCCTTGCACTGGCCTCATTGCCCAGTCAGAGCCCACTAAGGGAGACTAGGGACATGGTGTCCATGTCAAGGTCCCTGTGCAGCATCTGCCCCAGGAAAAGGCTGGTAGTGTTAGTGTGTTTAAGATCCCCAGGATATTCTTGGTGATCAGAAGCCTAGGGGTTGTGCCTAGAAGGTTTGCAAGTTTCCTGTATATGGCCAGTCTTCCACCCAGGAGCAGTGGGGTAGCAGCAATTCCTTGCTGCAGTTAGGTGGGAGGGTGGACACCCACACACTCAGAATCTGGGGACAGAATGGAATGGATGACAATGAAGATGGTGGTAGTAACATGTCACATTTAGGGATCACTATGTGCTGGGATGATTACAAGCTTTGGAGAATCCCTATCAACGCTGTCACTTGGGTATGCCCTTCTGCAGAAGTTCATTCTCCCTGAAACTTATCTAGCCTTCAAATGCAAAGAACAGTTTGGAGTGTTTGAACTCCAGTCTTCTTGCTGTGGCTCACAGCTTTCCCAGAGTGCTCTCTGGCCTTTACCCCATCTCTAGCAAGATCAACCATGCCACCATCCCCTCTGTCTCTCTCACCATCCCCATGGGCCCAGCCTTTGCTGTAAGCCCCAGTGCATGTGTTAGCTTATTGAGTCCTCACAACAGCTCTTCAAGCATATGCAGTAATCCCCTTCTACAGATGGAAATTGAGGTACAGGATAGTCAGCTGTCACAAGGATGCAGCTGTTGTATGTAGTTTGGGGGCTGGGGTGAATCCCCATGAGTGCCACATCCTACTCTGATTCTCCAGCAGTACGGTCAGATTTGGAAGTGACCATAGTGTATGCTGTGCTTTTGCCTGAGTGTGTGTGTGTGTGTGTGTGTGTGTGTGTGTGTGTGTGTGTGTGTGTGTACTCCTGTGTTCACATGCACATGAAGGCCAGAGATGCTTGTTATATTGTTCCTCAGTAGTTCTCTACCTTACCTTTTGAGGCAGGGTCTCACTGAACCTAGAGCTCATGGACTGTCTAGGCCAGTGAGCTCCAGCCTGTCTCTGCTCTCCCAGCACTGACACTACAGGCATAGCCTACTGTGCCCAGTTTTTATGTGAATGTCAGAGATTTGAACTTGGGTCCTCCTATTTGCACAGCAAGCACTTTACCAAATGGGCCACATCCTCAGCCCCTAGGCAGTGCTTGTTCTATTGTGCTCCTGGCTGTGGGAGAGAGCAGCAGCAAACTGCTCTGAGGAGGCACCGCTCTGAGCATGCTGCATGTTAGTTCCTTTAACTCTTAAAATTAGACTAAGAAGTGGGTCCAGAGAAGGAAATAGAGTCACAGAGCTGGGAAACACGTTCTCTGTGGTCATACAACTTATAAGTTGCAGAGTTGCCCAGCACTCAGTAGGCAGAGGAAGGAGGTCAGCTTTGTCTACAGAGTAAGTTCCAGGACACCCAGGGCTGCACAGAGAAGCCCTGTCTCAGGGGGTGGGGGGGACAGAGTCAGGAATTTAACAGCTGTGTGCTCCCTCACCCACCCTAGACTAAGGTTGTTATTCCACACTCTTGCATGCCTCCCAGGGGAGAGCCTGTAGTGAGGAGAGGCCCCCTCCTCCATCTGCAGCTGGGCCTGGCTGGTCCAGCATGTTCTATACTTCCCATCTGGCTCTGATGCTGGCACTGAGCCCTGAGTTCCTAAACCTGCCCAAGCTCTTGCCCCTGTCCCCACTCCTCTTCGGCCAAGGGGACTGCCCCACGGCTGAGGTGGTGCCTGTCCCAGTCCCAAGCCCACTGCCTTATGCTTTTGTGCACCCAGGACTCCCTGTCTCTCCCTGTGGGGACATGGTTTTGCATGCGGGAGGGACTAAAACCAGTCTGCCTATTCTGGTGTAACCATCTGGGAAGTGGCTATTTGCCGCCTTCCTAGAAGTTTCCTCTCCTCACTTGCAGACACAGGCCTCCTTTGTTCCCTGCAGTGGAACATCCTGTTCCAGAGTGGCCAAGCCGCTCCTTCCAGAAAGAATCTCGCTGGGCCATAGCTAAAGTGAATATTAATAGCTGTCAGCAGCCTGTGTGTCATGTACTGCCGGCTGATATCCATGGTGGATATGGGAGGACCAGAGGAGGACAGTAGAGTCCAAAGCCACTGAGTGTTGTGGGAGTGGGGTGGGTACGGGATCCAAACTTAGTGGTCTGGTTCTCTCAGCCCTCATCACTGCTTCCCATATGCAGGGACATGTCCTCTGGCCTTATGGTTGGCAGCCTTGGGGGCTGCAGCTTCTGAGATTTGACTTTTGACAATGGCTTGCTGGCAGATGGGAACTGGTGTCTCACACAGTTCTCATGATGGCATTCCTGATGGCCCCTGTGCATCTTCTGCCCTGTCCTCCAACAGCTAGAGTTATGAGCCTGCCCCACAGATGCCAGGCACAAGGCCTTTGCCATGCACCAGGAAAGGCCTGTGCTCTACTCGCTGTGTCTAGTAGGAGCTCATGATTCATCAACAGTTGCCACATCTGAAGCCCCATTGTCATGGTCCCCTGAGATAGGTTTGCCATTGTATCTGTCCCAAGGTAGGGAAACTGAGGTTTAACAGGGCTGGGTAACCTGCCCAGACCAACCCCAGGCTGTGTCCTGCCCCGCTGAAATCCTTTATCTTTTGCTCCATTGCTGCCGCAGGCTTCTCCTTTGGCTGTTGTCAGAGGATGTGAGCCAGTGAGGCAGGGGTCATCTTCAGCTCAGTTACAAGGACAGTTCTGTCATGTGCCGAAAGGCTGCGGCAGCAGAGAGGGGCTCTGGAATGAGGACAGCTTGTTCCCTGGCATGGCTGCCCCTCAGCTGCCTGTCCCTCTCTGGGTATCATATGACCTGTTCCCTGGAAGGCAGACAGGAAGTGAGGGAGGAAACCAAGGCCCAGGATGCTCAGGACCAGTGGGACAGGGACTGTCAAACCTGTTCTTCCTTGCAAAGCTCTGTGCCCAATGCCCGCTGAGGGCACGTGGCTATGGCACAGAGTCCTGACCACAGTACTACCAAGCCAGGAAGAGAAAGCTGAGAGACAAGAGCAGACAGGTCAGGGGAGGAGGCCTCAACCCAGCCACAGGTGTTCTGTCTCAGCTCACGTCACTGTGAGGTCATCTAGCTGGATGGTCCTCTGAGACATCCCTGTGCCAGGTCCCCTGGGACACGGTTGTGGAGCAGCAGCTTTCATAGTAGCTCTACCTGTCTGTGGCAGGTCCTGCACTGTCTGAAGCATGGGAGATTGAGGTCTTTGGTGTCGTTGAGCCCTGCCTGTTGTTGATGCCGTTGTTCCCCAGGCTGAGGTCAGGATAGCCCACTACAGAGTCTGAGCTGAGGTGGCCACAGCCCAAGCAACTGAGAGTGATGGCTCTGCTGTCCACCTAATCTGCCTCATCCAGAAATGGGGTGCCAGGCCTGGGGCCCCTATATGTCCCTGAGAGTATATGCAGTAGTCAGTGTGTGGCAATCCTTTCTCATCCTGGGGTGCCTGCTGAGGCCCCCGTTTAAGTGCACCTCCTAGACATAGAACAGGGGATATGCTCTCCTTCCTGGAGCTAACACTGTCCAAGGACAGCTGAACAACATCAAGATGTTGAGAATAATTTTAAAATGCTGTGGGGCTAAAGGTGTAGCCCAGTGGTACAGGACTTGGCCTAGCATGTCCAAGCTTTGGTTCCCTAGCACTCACAGAAGGAAAGATTAAGTGGTGGGCAGTGCTGTGAGACACTTCAGTGGACAGCAGGCCCCTGAGGAGGTGACATTTGGGCTAAACTATGAGGGATGGACAGATGAGAACAAGGAGAGGAGAGGGTGAGGTGTGCAAGTGTCTTGTGGCAAGAGAGAGAGAGAGAAAAGTCTGAATGGGTGAAGTGTGTAGTGGTGGGTTAGCCAAATGGAGAGATTCTCAGGTCCCTGAAGTTAGTGGCAAGCACCCTGGGCATCTTGGCCTGGCTCTGGCTCTTGCCTCTCCTGGATGTCTGTTCCCAGGCCTGTAGAGAAGCCATTTAAATGTTTAGACATAACAAGCAGGCATATTTGGGGGCATCGCAGAAGGTCCCAAATCCAGATCTGCAGAATGCCAGAGCCAGACAGGCATGAGTCTAAGGTCCTACCTCCCCGTTTCAGCAGAATCAGGGGAGCCAGGCACTCCTATGCTCTGAGGAGGCTGGTCTTCCCCTGCCCTTTAGGGTTCACTCTGTGCCCCCCTCCTCCAGGGGAGGGTGAGGCCAGTTAACTAAACACTGCTGATTTACTGTTGCCAATAAAGGAGTAATCCAGTGCTGAGAGACTTGGCAACTAAGTTACTGTAGGGGAGTGACTCCCAGCTGGCTAGCAGCCTTAGGTCCCTTCCTATGCAGAACAGTAGCCAGCTATGTGGGAAGCAGGCCCTGGACAGGAGAACAAACCTGTGTACCACCTTGTCCTTGACTCTTGCCCTCTGGGGAGTCTCCAGCACTGGGGCTTGTCAGGAACTCATTAGGTGGCTACAGAGGTAGTCTAATTGCTTAAGATACAGCCTGACTTAGCCTGGCCCACTGCATCCTCACCCACAACTCCACCTGGTGCTGAGGAGGCTGGGGCACTGTGGCGGCATTGACCACACTGGCCTGGCTGACCACCGTGTCCCACAGGTTTTCCCGCTCAGATGAGTTGTCACGGCACCGTCGATCTCACTCGGGTGTGAAGCCGTACCAGTGCCCCGTGTGTGAGAAGAAGTTCGCACGGAGTGACCACCTCTCCAAACACATCAAGGTGCATCGCTTCCCACGGAGCAGCCGTGCAGTACGTGCCATCAACTGAATGCAGTGGCCGCTCCATCCTCCCCCAGTCCTGTGCTTTGTTTTTAGATGCAATAACTTATTGCCTCCTTCAGAAGGATGTGACAATATTACCAGCCCCCTTCTGAATCTTAGGAGGTCTGACCCAGAGCCGCCACGGCTGCCTTTCCAGGGAGGACCTAGAGTCCCCAAGGTCCCTGGGGGCTGGTTCCCCGGTGGCCCAGGTGGCCCAGGCAGGCCTGTGCCCTTGTGCCTTTTTGCCTTCCTGCCAGCTGGAAGGATTGTTTGGGGGGCCCTTGCCCTTCTCCTATTGGGCTCCCTACCTGGGCCAAAGCCAACATTATTGCTGGGGTATAAGTGTTTTGGCTGTGTTGAAATAGTTCCCAGAAGGAGCCATGCTGGGAAAAAGGAAGTAGGTCAAAAGTGTAGGGCTACACTGTGGCATAAGGACCGCCATATGCAAGAGGCCTTTGAGGGTCCAGGAGGGTGGCTACCCTTGCTCTCGGCAATAATGCATGTGCTTAAATACAGGACAAATGGAGCCATATCCATCTGTACCCAGCCTGGCTCCCCCTCCTCCAGACATCAGCCTGCAGGTGTGGTGGGAAGAGACAGCAGCAGGCTTGGTGGATGCAAAGCAACTAGCTAGCGCCTCCCAGTCTGACTTAGATTTGCATTCCTCATCAGGTCTAGAAATTAATACCAATTGGACTAGCTTGTTTTGACAGGTCTATTTCACATCCTATGAATGTATGTAAATAAACTGTACATAAGTATGCATCTACATAAAATATCTTTTAATAACACATTGACATTTGTGTAAATTTGAAATTAAAAAAATTCTATAAAGTCGGTGTACATATGTTACAATTATGTATATTTTCTTTGGTCCTTCATAAAAAATATATTTACTTTGCCAATAAAAAGAGAAAAAAAGAACTCAACCATTCTTTGGCCCTGTCTTCCTCTCCTGGCACGGGACATGGGGGTGATTCTGGGGCTCTGCCCCTTCCAGACCCCTGTGTGGACCTTCCTCTCTTCAGCTACTTCCTCTGTCTACCCAACATTCCTGAATGACTAGGTTCCACTCTCAGGTTTGGATTCAGGATCCTCTACAGCTTGGGCTGGGAACATTGGGAGCAGACAACAAAGGGAAGCTGTGAGCATTGTAGGGATTGATCCCAGGGAGTTCTGGTCTGGTCTGATGATACCTCAGCTGGTGTCAGGTGCACAGTGGGAAGACCTTCCTGGTTCACTCTGCACAGTGGAAGGTGAGAACTTTTTAGAAGTGACCCTATCCTATTGACCCCAGTAAAATAGCTGGGTGCTGACTGGGGCAGGGTTTCCCAGGAGCCCTTCTGAGATCTGGAGACAGCTGGCAGGTAGGTTCCCAGCAGAGAGATTCCTATACTGCATGATGTGAAGCTGTCAGTCTCAGAATATAGAGGTTAGCTTGGAGTAGGCCTTGATAATCTGTTCTATCCAGTGGGAGCTGGCAGTCATTGAGATTTCATGTGTGACTAAACTAGCTGATTAGAGAGGATGGACATCCCATCTGACCAGCTTGTGACCTCTGCCTTTTGCCTGTAACTACATATACCTTCTGAGGACCAACAGGCCCTGGGAAAAATGAGACATTGATTTCCAGCTGTATTAGTGTAATTTCTTTTCATACTAAACAATCAGTGCAACCTCAGATAAAAGGGACATTGGAGGGACAAAGGAGCGGTCTATTTTGTGGTCATGTAGGTGACACTGAGGAGATGAATAAACCACGTCCACATGCATCTCTGTGGCTGAGGATGGATGAACATTCTCTTTTCCCTCATCTGTACATCACGAACAGCCTGGTTATAAAGCCAGCTGAGCTATGAACTGTCTTGGGCCAAGGAGTGGAGTCAGTAGGGCTCCTGGGCTCCTCACCTGAAGCCTGCGTGCTCACCCTGCACTGCAGGAGAGGCTGAGGTGATGCTCAGCAAGACAGAGAAGGCTGTAGGGCTATAGCAGTCTCTCTCATGCAACCTCTCGTTGATGCCATTTTGGGTGGGTTTCTGCTGCTCCATGTTGCAGCTGGACATGGCACAACATGTTGGCGAGAAAGTCCCTGGTAGTATGATGGCCAATGGTAAGTGGGGTGCAAGCCTATGTCTCAGCAGAGTGGAGGCTGGGAAAGTGTGGGACCAGGAGAGGATGAAAGTGGCGTGGCCTGCACTGTGCCCCTTCTGTCCTCAGTGCTTTCGGAGGATGGAAGAGAAGTCTTTGTCCTGTTTTATGTGCTGAGAAGGCAGAAGGAGACATAATCCTTCAATTATTTGTGTTAGAGGAGGTTATGAAACAGGTAAAATGACCAAAATCTCCCCCAAGGTCTTGGGGTGAAAAGTGGAGCACTGTGAAACACTAGCAAATTGTTTTTAATGTTAATGAGAAGCGACCTCTCGTTCATGTTTGTTTTTCTTTTAAGTAACTGAGTTTCTGGGGGCTAGGGTGATTTGACTCCCCAACTGACAGCTGTCACACCTTTCCCTGGTGCCAGGATGCCTTAAGCGATGTACTGCCAGCCTTGCAGTTGCCAGTTGCCCTCATGGCACCTGGCTGCTTTGAAGCTTCCTGGATGCCTTAGGGAACTAACTGCACTGCGATCAGCCCCTTGCTGGGGAAGCTTGATGCTGTCTTCTGAGGCACCGTCCCAACCACACAGTGGTTTAGACAGCTTGCAAGAGACTTTCTGTCCATCATCAGCCTCTCTGAACTCTAGATGACCCTGTCACCATTTCCAGCCACACCAGAGAGTCTTCCTCTGGTGGGCTCACAATGAAGGGCTGTGCTGTGGTTGGTGCAAACAGAGCCCATTTGCATGAAACTTTGCTTCTTAATGGTACCAGCAGCCTTGCCACATCCCCTTTCTAGATACATAATTTGAGTTGCCAGCTCCTTTCTTGAGTCAGCTGAGAGGCTGAGCTGCACTTAAAACTAGGCTAGTCCAGACTTACAAGAGACGATAATCAGAGCAAATGGAGAGGTATGAAACTCTGAAGTTTCCAGAGGCAGGGCCTCGGCCTGAAAGCTCTGAGACTATTGGAATCACAACAGCTTTTCAGAGCTGGAGAGCTGGGGGTTAAAGGACAAGGCAATGAGCCTCTGGCCTGAGCACCTAGAACCCCAAGTCTCTGGCTTCTACAGCCCCCACCCAACTTTCTTTGTAACTCAAACTTGCTGTCCTCCTGCCTCAGCCTCCCAAGTGTTAGAATAAAAGGTGCATACTAGCACACCCAGCTTCCTATGCAATAATTCTACCCATGTAGAACAAAAGGTTTCCAACCCTCTTATTCTAGTTTGGTTTCTGTTGCTATACTAGACACCATGGACAAAGGGAAACTGGGAAGGAAAGACTGATTTTCTCTCACAGTCCATTAAGAGAATTCAGGGTAGGAGCTTGAAGCAGAGATCATGGAGGAATTCTACTTTATTGGCCTTACTGCCTGCTTCTGCAGGCAGCTAGCATTCTTATACAACCCAAGACCACATGCTCAGGGATGGTACTGTCTGCAGTGGGCTGGGCCCTTCTCCATCAATTAGCAATTAAGAAATCCCCCGCCCCCAACACACAGACATATAGACATGTTCACAGGCCAATCTGATAGAGACAATTCCTCAGTTGAGGCTCCTTCCCAGGTGTATCAAATTGATAACCAAGCTGCACTATCACACAGCTCATCGGTAGCAATCATAAAACCAAATGTAGCCATAGTGCTCTACACAATCTCTGCCCATAGGCACACAGTTAGACCATGGCTAATAACAGGTAGTACACAAGTCAGCCTGCTGCAATGCAAAATTCCAGTTCTGTGGCCTAAACAAGGTAGACAGCCACATTCCTCTATATAAGCAGTCTGAAGGGAAGCAGTGTGGGCTAATATGGCGGCTCCTCCAGGTTGTAGTGTGTCACCATAGATGGCTCACTGGAGGAAAGCAAGTAGGATGTAGCCACATGGCCTCTGTTCCAATGCCCTTAGTTATGAAACCAGGATCCATTACTGGTTTGAGTAGACAGTTGCAGCTTGCCCTACCTACCCCTTGGTTGCAAGCACTAGCAGATCTCACCTTTCCAGGGGTCTGCAGAATAGCATCTGTGAGGCCATGATTAAGTATGACTCCCAGGACCTTATGAATATGATTTTGGGGCATCCTTGAGGAGTGTGGAGCCAAGGATAGAACTTCTAGAGCAGTGGGTTGTGAGGAGGGAAAACTGGAACCAGAGAAGCCAGGAACTCCCCATGCAAGCTGCCTTGGTTGAGGAGGTGAGGTCACAGAGGAAGGAATCCTGACTGTGAACAGAAGCAGGTCCTCCAGTACCACTATGAGATACTCCGGAATAGAGCCAAGACCACACTGTGGCAATAGGAAGGAGGGGACAAACGAGTTTTCCTTATGTTGCTTTGGCTAAGGGTGTCAGGGAGAGCTGCTGGAGGTAGCTGTGGACATCACAAGTGTGAAAAGGGTAATTGAATTCGGGAACTAAGTGTGAGCAGGTCCTATTTGATTTGAAGCTATGCACACACAATGGAGATGACTGTGTGGGACCATTCTAATACACAGAGTGAGCAACATCCAACACATGTCTAGACCTTATCACTTTCAATAAGGAAGGGATGAGGGGCTGGAGAGATTGCTCAGCAGTTAACAACACCTGTTGCTTTTTATGAGGACAGAGTTCAGTTCCTAGCACACACACGGTGGCTCACTGCCACCTGTAATTCTAGCTCCACAGGATCAAATACCCTCCAGCATGCACACACACAACAAGAATGGCCCTAGCTCCCGAGAGACCCCAAAGAGACCCAGAACACAATCAGAGTGTAGTACAAGGTAGAGAGAGAGATGTATGGGGGATGAGAGAAGGCAGACAGTGCCGAGGCTGAGGGTGGCAGGGAGTGCCATGTGAGTACAGTTGGGAGGCCAGAATGAAGCTGCTTAAATGTTCCCTAGCATAGTGGGAAAGGTGGAGGAAAGAAATATGGATGACTAGGACGGAGTGGAGAGCTAGGGGCTTGAGTCAGACTCTAGGACAAGCAGATCAATGCCAATGACACAAAACAAAGTTATTAGGTCCCCAGGGAGTGCTGACTACTGAAGCCTTGCCACTTTGGCAGAAGGAGGCCACCTGTGCTCCACAGCAAAGTTGTGGTTGGGATGACCATCAACAGAGGACTCCCAGGATTTGTGCCAGCTTGACAGCAGCTCTGACTCACCGGGATGACAGATGGTCCTCTCTTCTAAGAGTGCCCTAAAGGAGGATGGTGGGAAATGAAGGCCCCTTCTCTTTTTCCCCTTGTCCATCTTGACCTGATGGGCCTATCTGGAAGCCTGGGTGCATAGCTGGAGATCCCCACATTATATTGTGGGACAAGGATGTCCCACGTAGTTGCCAAACTAGTGTGGGCTGGGTCCCTCTTCCAGCCCTTATGTTAGAAATGTTTACTATTATTTTTTTACTGTTACTTATTGTGTGTATGTATATGGGGCAGAGTGGGGTGCACACATGACATCATGACATGTGGAGGTCAGAGGACATCTTGTGGGAGTCAGTTTTCTCCTACCAGATGAGTCCCAGGGATTGAACTCAGGAAGTCAGGATTGGCAGCAAACACCCTTACCTGCTGAACCATCTCACCAGCCCTCACATGTGTTTTAAATGTGACTGCAATGTCATTCAGGGCTGCATGCAGAATCCATCATCTTTACTCTTTCTGAAAAGAGCCAACTGTCCTGGGGGCACTGAAAGTTTCCACCATTACAGACTCCAGTAGCTTCACTTGGTGTATATATTTAAATAGTATTAAAAATATATATTGTTATTATATTCATATAACATGTATGTTGATGTAATTATAATAAAACATATACTTCAGTAATATGTGCACAGAGTTTAAACAACTATGCATAT